TATACGTCTTGTCTCGAGTCTCGTTATTCTCAGGATTCAGCAGATGATACTCTTTTGCTTGAATTGGAGTCTATATTTTCATGTTTTAAATGTTCATGCTGCAATAAAGCTGAACATAGATTCCTAGGGGGAAGTTTCCTTATTGCGTTCAGTGCAACCTAGAGCTTTTGTAGCTCTAGAACAGAAATACTATCATTAAAACCTATCACTGTTTTACAAATTCATTATTCTCATCTAAATATCTCGTTGTCGGTCCGAATCGTGCTCATCAACGTTCTCATATGTTCTCATAAGGTAGATTGTTGTCAGAATTTGTTGAGACGAGATTTCATTACTTCTTCACGAGTTGTAGCATATCCAGCATTCTGGGGATATGTTAGAATTGGCGAAATATGATGGATATAGATATTTGAAATACAAGACCTCTTCTAACTCTACAATACGGAGCTAAACTAACGCCAAAAGGTTTTTCTATCCCTAGGGTGAGCTTGGTATATACTTGAGTTTCCAAAAAAAAAGGGCTTGGCTTGGAAAAATAACAACAGGGAACACAATGTTTGGTTGAGGTGAGGGGGCAGACTAGATAGGAATCTCAACCGGGTCATCATCAGTGTAAATGGATAGAAATATGTTACTTGAGAATTATAACTCTCCGTTCCACTTCTGTTAAATTTCAAGATTACAAAAAAGCCTAATTTCATTCGTGTGAGAATGTTATTTTCGAGTTTGAAGTCGCATCTGTGACTTATTTCTACTACCCTCGGATTGATTTCTACTGGTGTCTATAGCACTGGCAATAAATTGCTGTAGGACATCCCAATATCAACCATAGGTTACATTGGATGGCGATAATATCTGCAACCGGCCCTCGGGCCTCCTTTAATGGACTATGAGTTGATATAGCTTGCGGAACGCATCGTCCTCAATAATCACACTGCTCTCTCATTATTCTTTATGTTTACGGTATTAATCAAGAGATCAGAGAACCGTTACAAACCAATTCAATTGAAACCAACTTGGAAGACAAGTATTAGTTAATTATGTCTGATGTACTCTGCTAGGACGATTTTGGTTGATGTAGCCGTAAAGGCCATTGCGCTTTGTGGGCACTTGCTATAGTAATCACCCGATACACTCAAAGATAAAAGCACCAACCGAAGCTGTGAACAATGAGCAAAAACTTTTCTACCACCTCATGAGCCATATCTACTAGATGGAGCACCTAACAAGCCATCCTACCAAAAATCTTAACTTATGCCCTTCGGAGAAAGTTCTAACTCTAGATATGCAACAAACCACTCAAACTACCAAAAGTCTCGAGTGATCATAATCAAACTTCATGACTTACCAATTTTTAACAAAATGAAAGTCATATCGCGAATCCTAATCATGATACTGAAAGACAAGTAAAGTAGTATCTCACCCCTGGAATATCGTCATCACATAAGCACAACGCCCGAATCCTTCAATCTCTATACGCCAGTTCGGTGAATACCAGGCCAAATTTGGCATAGCAATTGTATTAGAACACTTCCCTAGATATCGAGATACAATGTTTCCACGAGCGGTGCAACCATCTTATCACCTCTGTGAAAATCGAAGTTTGGTTGCACATCTAGAGATTGAACTTTCTCCGGACACACAATATTTTATACCTTGGTTAGAATCGTGAAGTTTTGTTGCATGTCTGGAATTTGAACGTTCTCCGGAAAGCAAATTTTGCTCCTCAGACTTAAGACATGATTAAATCGCTTCGTGATCGCAGTGAATGGCTATGGTATGATAAGTCAGCAGCAAAAATGGCATGGGGTTCACTTCTTTTCACTTGCAGACATGGTTTGGCTCATGAATCAGAAAGTGTTGATATACCCTTCTTTCTAAATGGTAATAAAGGAATATTTTGGAGCATTTTGACCCGAGCTCAAGTCGTTAGAAGGCCCAACATCCACTCTTTCTTACGACACATTTAGTTGATTCGTTAACAAGGCAAGACTACTGGAGTTGCCTCCGAGTTAGCCGGACATGAGCGACTGCGACAAATACACAATAGAATTTGTTCATTGACTTAAATAGACGCCGGTCAAGTCTCGTATCTGTAGATTTTTTCCCACGCCCTTGAGCTGACATGAAATCGGATCGAGAATACTACCGATACAAAACTGTCATCATCGTTTTTAGCAAAGATTTGAGATATATATTGCTACCATATTTGGCAGATGAGATCCTGGGGAAAGCGCAGCTGTTTCTACCTACGGTAGCGTTCGCCTTACCAAATTTGTAAATATTGGAGTAAACCTGAAAAAGGACCGATTCCCCGCACCTCCGCAAACTGCAGATCAACCCTCTAGTTATATGCTTCAATTGCTATTCGTACAATCCACATGAAGCGTTGAGGGGTATCTTTGCATTCCTTTCGCGAGATGCTTATCATGTCGCTTGACAATATGCGACCTTCAATCCGTCATGTCGATTAGACCACTAGGCTTATCAATGCTGATAGTGCTTTAACAACAACACACACATTTTTCACTAAAATAGATTGAGTTGCCCACTCTGATTAACGAGAAGTGCCACGCAAAGTATCGAAACTGAGTCAAGGAATCCAACTTCTAGTTCCCCCTGGTAAAAGAAGGACTCTGGTGTGAACCGTCTAGCCGGCGGATTTTGAAATTCGCAGGGAAGAAGACAGTATCAACATGTCCCATACGAGTGCAAGCCATCGTGCACTTCGTGCATCAAGCTTATGCATGAGCTCTCATCCTACTCTACTGGAGTCACCAATCTCCATGCGGGGCAGCAATTCCATCTTCCATCTCCCCACTCTCACTAAATCTAAACTGGAGACTCCAGAATCCAGCAACTTCGCCAATGTGGGAAATTGTTAAGATTCCACGTGATGGTGGATCATACGCTGACGCGTACCCGCTTTAACAATTTAGAGCCCGTTACCATAGATGGAAAGTTGTCAGCGTTGCGATTCCAACAGGATGTCTAATCCGAACACCTATCGGGCCTTCTATTGCGCTTGTTGACTCAAATTATGGAAATCGAGGTTGGTTTATCGATCCATTGGAATTTTATGAGAGCTTCGTAAGCTAAGGTGAGCGGGTATCGGCACAAACACGGGGTCTCCATTTGGGGTTCAGTAAGGTTGACAGTCGGCTAAACATCGGTTATCGCTCTTATTCCTAGGAAATGGGAGGTTTTCAAACTGTCCAGTGCCGTTTCGACACCCGAGTCGGCTTTAGCAAGGAGTTTGGCTTACAGAGAGAGGGTTATGAAAAAACATTCTTTCGATGTAAGGATAGTAATCGATTTGGTGATGTTTACTGGTGCATGTCTCCTGTCTCCTCCAATAATGCGTGGCTATCGGGTGATTATGAACGTTGGTTAGTTCGTATGACTGTTAGACTGTGAAGATGCTCGGATATCGATCCTAGAATCCCGCTATTTGTCGGGACCGAAAAGAAAAAAAATATTGAAGCAAATTCAGAATTTTATGCTCATTTTTCATCATCTTTATCGTAATGAATTCAGTATCCAATGATAAGATGCTGGTGAAACGGTCTCTTGCGGGAACTGAAATTGTCCGATTAACAAGATTCTTGAGAGCGTAAAGAGCTGGAACTGATGTGAGCCCCTTTGGTTTCCAGAAACTCTCCTCGTCAGCATTCTATAAATGTCCCCACCACAGTGGACCCACAGGCACTTGGGGAAATAGAATTATCAAACATGCAAAAGGATATTCTTACCATATACGAAGTAGAGATTCAGTTTCTTGATGTTTAAAGTCATGTTGGGGTTTCCCCAGTCGACGAACCTCGGGGTCGAACAGTTACTCCATCTGGAGAGAAAGGGCCGAATAGCTATGGAGTCTATCTTACCCGCCGCCCGCGGAGTGTTGTTAGCGGTCGAGGAGAAGTAATGAGTGCGGCGCTTAGCGGAGTTGTAAACATTGCCTTGTTCGTTGCCGACATGTTAGTATTAGCTATGGAAGTCTTTGAGTATCAACGAGAAACTTATTGACGATCGCGCTTATTTGTCTGATGTCGTTGAAGGCCAAGAATCCAAGCAAAGCTTGACATATTCGCATGACGAGCAGCGCCCCAGTCGACGGGTAGCTTGTAGAACCAGCCTGATGGTTGATAGGCTAAGGCTTTGGAGCCCTATTAATCGCACTGTGGCACTATAATCCTTGCGTCAAGTTTGTTCCATAGCCTTGGCACATGATGCAGTGGTAGAATCCTAGCCGAGACTTATCATTCTTCGGGGTGGCGCGCGCGAGTTTCTAATTCAGAAACAAAAGAATAGTCTAAAATTGGGGAAATGAGAGAGGACCCAACTTCTGGTCTGATGGGAATGCAAGAATTTAGGATATCCAAGAGTGGCTTAAGCTCCAGATTGTTTATTGTCAAATGACAACCCAAGCTACTGGTAACGAATCCTGGGGAGGAAGTAGAAAAAAATGAAAGAATGGGGATCGTCGTATGACATTCAGGCTTCCCCGAATCCTCCACGAGTTCTATCCATACGTTGATAACCAAAGAGTTGGGAATTAACGCGTGTCACACCTTCCCAGAGCGTCCACTTCGAAGTGGAGAGCGTCTTTTCCTGAAAGACTACTCTTGAGTTTATCTGTTATTTGGTGTTCTCGAGTCTAAGCTTGATCGGGAATCCCCGCGGGAAAGGCTTTACCCTTGAAAATCCGTAGAAAGTTGGAAATACGGAGTATATATAGGAAGTTATCTTCTTCTTTGTCTTCTTTTCACAGACTGTCTTCATTTCATCTTCATCGGGCTCCGCTTCCCCTCATCTCACTTCTCCAATTGCGCTCTCGTTTCATTTTTACGCCGACGACAATGGCCATCAAGGCGTAAAAGGGGGCTCCGAGCCAGTCGCTCGTTGCTCGACAGAATGCAGCCAAAGCTCATGGTCTCATGGGCATGCTCAAGAATCCTTATGTGTTCTTGACATGTTTATTCGCATAATTGGGTTGTATGATGTATGGTTAGTACAAGCATGTCCATTCCTTATGACTAGCGAGCACTGGCTAACATTCGAATAACAGGTTACGACCAAGGAGTCATGTCCCCAATCCTGGTTATGGAAAACTTCGAGAACGAATTCCCAACTCTCACTTCGCCGACACTTCAAGGATGGCTCGTTGCTTCCCTTGAGCTTGGTGCCTGGTTCGGTGCTCTTTTCAACGGATACCTCGCAGATAAAATCTCAAAAAAATACAGTATGATGGTTGCCGTTCTCATTTTCACACTCGGTACTGGTCTCCAAACTGGTGCTCAGAACCCATCATACTTTTTCGCAGGTCGTATCATCGGCGGTGTGGGTATTGGTATGTCCTCCATGGTGATTCCATTATACCAAGCAGAAATTGCCCCTCCAGAACTTAGAGGATCTTTGGTGTCACTTCAACAACTTTCCATTACCATCGGAACTACCATTGCTTTCTGGCTCGACTTTGGATTCTCCTTCTCTGGTGGAAATAAGTGCAAGCCAGAGGGTATTGCAGACCCATATCTCGCTGATGGCGCATTGCAATTGATTCCAGCATGGACTCTTTTCATTGGAATGTTCTTCTTCCCATTCTCTCCTAGATGGTTGATGTTGAAGCATCGCGAAGAAGAGGCTATTGCATCTCTCTGCAAACTCAGACGTCTTGACGCCAATGATTCATTATTGCGAGCCGAATTCCTCGAAATTAAGGCCGCTGTCATGTTCGATGAGGAAACCCAAGCGAAGCAAATTGGCGCTGGTGGAATGATGGCCCCGTGGAAAGCATTATTCGTTCCTCATGTATTCAAAAGAATATTCTTAGGATGTGCTATGATGGTGTTCCAACAATTTACTGGTATCAACGCTGTCTTGTACTATGCCCCTCAAATTTTCGCCAGTTTTGGTTTCTCTAGCACTACCACTACTCTTCTCGCTACTGGGGTCACTGGTATCTTGCAAGTTCTCTTCACTTTACCAGCTGTTTTGTACCTTGATAAATTCGGTCGCAAGACTTTCCTCATTGCTGGTGCCATTGGTATGTGTATCTGCCACATCGTTGTCGCTGCCGTCGAAGGTGTTTACGAAGATCAATGGAACCTCAATGAAGGCCTTGCTGTTACACAAGGATGGGTCGCCATTGTGTTCATTTGGCTATTTGCAGTCAACCTCGCCTATTCTTGGGGACCTGTCACTTGGGTTCTTGCTCAAGAAATCTTCCCAGCCAGTGTCAGATCCCGTGGTGTCTCCCTTGTCGCATCTACCAACTGGATGTTCAACTTTATCATCGGCTTGACCACCAAAGACATGCTTGACTCCATGGAATATGGTATATACATCTTCTTTGCTGTATTCAGTGCCGGAGGTGGTTTCTTCATCTGGAAATTCTTCCCTGAAACTAAGGACAAGACATTGGAGGAACTCGATGTGTACTTCGGCGGTAGCATTGACAGTATTGCAGCTGCAGATAAAGCAAGAATGCAAAGCATCAACGAGAGACTTGGTCTTGCTAATGCCGGGCGACCCAAAGATATCAAGTTGAACAACGACGAGAAAATTGCTACAACTACTCACCAAGAATTGTAAACAAAGAAATGGTGTAAGGTGACGTGGGTTGTGTGGGGTCTTGGATCATACATAATTCTGATTTATTTTACTTGAGATATCAATGATTAGCATTTATAATGAAACGATGGAACGAATTTCGATTGAAGAAAAATCTCTCCCTATCCTTTGCTCATCAATTTGTAGATCTTCCTACGTGATGTCTCCAAATGTTTGCTCTTTGGGCTATCCGCCCCGGCTCTCAACTCTTTGCCAAGAAAAGATTTTTATGCGTACGAGACTACTTCAAATGATCTTTATTCGATTGTTGGAAGCTACTATCCACTTCGGAATCAGTGAGCCGTATGATACCCAAGGTGTTTGAACAAGTCGTGAATTCATCCAGATCTGTTTGATTCCATTGAGTCTCACTCTTTGCTAGCCTCTTTTGATATCATCTCGTTACATTACGGCAATCACAATAGACCAAGAGAGAGCAGCCGATTGAAGTCATATCGGCATTGCCACGAAGAAAAGTGTGCGTAGCAGGAATCCAACTTTGTCAGGTCTTGTTAAAAAGTAATGACGGATGATCTTCTCGATTGGGTTCTATAAAGCTCGCGAGTAGATATGTAAGCTACTTCCTAAAATCAATACAATAAGAACGTGCAAATTCATCTTGTACTAATATTCTGTCTTGAACAGTCCGAATACACATGAGAGTAAGGAGAAGTCACCAATCTTTCTCTTCCACTTTCGCAACTACCCTCGCTGGTACAAGTGGAGACCACTCCTGCTTGTGCATATCCTTGAAAAGCAATCCGCCAAAACAAGTGTACGCAACAGTACCAACCTCATCTGCAGGATATCCTGCTTCACTAGCGTGTATCACCATTGTGTTCTCTTTCTCATTTTTGTGGGATACTATTGCATCTCCAGGTTCTGGAACATATATCTTATAATCGTCGATTGGCTCTGCTCTCAGAGTCTGACTCAGCGTGAAGGCCTCTCTGCAAATCCGTAACATTATTATATTGCTTGATTCAGTATCTTGTTTTTTCAACACAGGCTTTAAGAAGTCTTCAAAAGCTGACGCAATAGCAGCTATCCTCCTCTCTGAATCTCTCTTTCGAAAGCACTTTCCACACCTGTAGGTTAATTTCCTCCAATTATGGAAGTCAAGACTTTCGTAAACATCACCTGCAAAGTCATTAGCAAGGATCCTTTTTACATTTGACACTATATGGTAATCACCTGCAGAAGCATCCCGGATCTTCTTTTCAAATGTTGTAAGTCCAGCTTCCATCTTTTCTCCCTCGTCTTCATCATCAAGACCAAATACTGGCTGAAACAATATCTCGTCGTTGATAAATTGGAAGATAGCCCTTCCGAGATGTAGTATTCGTTCCAGCGAACCTGATTTGTTATCGATAGCACATCTCAAGAATTTGTCTCTTGATTTCTCCTGGCTATTAAGCTCCATCTTCAGCTCTTCTACCAATTCCAGGTCAAAGACTAAGTTTTGCATCAAATATACTAAGTTCTTATAATCTGGTCCCCACATCCACATTGGCCCATTGATCTCAATCTTGTTGTATCTGTTGACCCACCGACGCCACATGTCAGGATCCTTTTCCGCCCTTTCGACTCTTTTCTTTGCAGTTCTATATTCTGATTCTTGAGTTCCTCAAGTTGGGTCTCTAGTTTTTGCACATTCTGAGGATATTGATGAGCTTGTGCTTGATAGTCATTACACTGAGCTTGAAGGTTCTCAATCTCGGCTGTCAATTTTTCGATGTCTGTTTTGGCTTGAGCAAGTTTCAATTCTGCTTCGAATTGGCCGCTTTTCACGGGTGTAATCACTTGGCGGCCGAAAACTTTGAGTTCTTCTGATATCTTCTGGTAATTGCTCTCAAGGTCTTTGTATCGTTTTTGGGACTCATCCTTTTCGTTTTCGAGAGCATCTGCTTCGGGCTGCAGAATAATGTTCATTAGTAATGGAAAAGAAAATGCAATATTGAAGCCACAATTCGAAGGTTTCGAAACGAGTCATGCATGACTGGGATTGAACTTACTGGAACTTCACCACGTTGAGATAGCATTTTCTCAAGCTCAATTTGAATCTGCTCGAGCATCTTACCCACCAGTTCTACAGCTTGTTGAACAGATCTTCCACCCTGAACATCTTGGCTGTCTCTGGGCGCTGGAACTTCGGTATTCATTTTGAATACTGTAATTACACCTTCTGGAGATTGGTTGAATTATATCTTCCTTGAGCTTACGGTGCAGATTTTGAGGACACGAGCGTTGCGATCTGACTACCTTCGCTAATTTTGTACTCATGAAAGGGACTTCCATATCATTCATTATCAAAGAACTAGAGACTATTCTCTTTGTCAGTCTTGATATCATGCCAACCATTCACTTATCACAGGGCTTACTCTTTTCCGTTTTCAGTTTTCAGGGTCGGATCTTGTAAGTATCAAGTCTCTCAAAAATCTTTGTACATACGATGTTTGTTCGATCGACATCCATCACATCAATTATCCAATCTTGAGATCTGCCTAACCAAAGACAACCTCTCACATACCCAAATGATCTTATTCTTCATTAAAATTCGATTCTTACTTTGAGTTATCAAAGCTGTGCTTTGGAACAAATTTCATGGAATTTCAGGGAAGATAAATATTGTTTGGTATGTGTGAGATTTTCCTCGACTGTGATGATAGTGAATAGAGGTATAATATGAAAGGCTAGAAGTCATGGTATGAGATGGTGCACCACACACTGCTCGAAGAAATTAGTTTCCAATTGGTGGCTTGGCCTTCACTTTGATCTTTCGAATCGTATGCCAAGGTCAGATGCATCAAACAATAGTGAGAGCATGGATTTGGAGAACAACGAGAATCTCAAATCAATCTCACACTTTCAGTATCTCTTCAAGCATCTGAAATATTTGTGCAATGATTAATCATGAATCAAACAATCCGCAAATATATTCTCAAAGACTTCAAATAATATTTGAATTAATCAGACTATTTGTAAAGTCGAGGAGCGTTTCATGAGCCCTCCAAAAATATGGCAGCAAGTACCGCGCGCAGTCTTCCGTATCAGCAATTTATTCCTGCAAGAAAACACCACCAAGTGAAACCCCAAATCAAGACCTCGAGTATTCTCCTACATCAATTTCAATCATATTTGGCCTCAACACTACCCATTTCCTCGCCGTTGTACTCAAGTGAAAACATCATGATGGCAGAGTTGATTGTCACGACCAAATCGAAATGGACGTCCCAGCATTGGTCCCCAAACCTCTCGATTTTCTTCCTGATTGTCGTCCGATCTACGCCCCTCAGATCGACTTTCAGGCTACAATTCACCGCTACCGTCGGACCAGGGCGGACAGGCGCATCGACTAATTCGCAATGGTGAAGGGTTTCCTTGAACATAATAGTCTCATCCGATAACTTGTGGAGAACTCGATAAAACGAAAATTTTATCTTTTGTGGTCGTTGAAGATCTTCTCCGCGCTCTATGTACCAAGTCATCTATTTATGCAAGTAATCAATCAAATCCAGAAGGTATTGTGTCTTACACCGGATGTCTTCCACTTTCCGTACGCATTCATAAGCTTGGGATAGCCGATATCTTCTACGTCATCATAGGTACGGTGGGCTGAGACGCCATAGTGCCGTGTCGTCTGTGCTGAGACTACCATGACCTTTTGAGGAAGGTGCGTGAGAACAGCACCCCTTATATTGAATTAGCAGCTTTCTTTTTTGCATTCAGAGAACTAACTTGACAATTGCAGACCAAGCATCATGCGGCTGGATAACTTGGATAGCCGGATGGTCTAGAACTAGTTGAGATTTGAGGTACTTCGAAGAACCAAAACCTCCTACGAGTAAAATTGCCTAAAAACGGTTATTTTACGTCTCAAGAAACTATGAGATGAGATGTATTTATTACCTTTATTTTTTCCGCCTTGGGATGATTCTCCGATAGTCTCTTTTTCATGACCTCCTGCACCTGCTCGTGGACTTTGACCTTGATGTCTGCAATTATAGGGTCGAATATCTCTTTCAACTCAGCACTGATAATGCATCAGCTCGATTCAGATGTGCTAGTTAAAGAAAAGCCTTACCTCTTCATAATCCAGCAGTTATTTTCAAGCCCCTTCGGTTGGTCGTCTTTGAGCTTTGCACCTAGGAAGTGCAAATAGTTTGCTCGATCACCAAGACCAAGGAAATCTCGTTTGACAGAAGTCTCGAATTGCTCCCAGGCAAACCTGAAACACCTAGAATTCATCGGATCATTAAACTGAGCTTCCCCCACTAGTTCTTTGACTTTTTCTTGGAACCTGTTGTTCAGATTCAATGAGCCTGCCATGCAGCCTTGGAATCATTCAGCTCAATACTTCAGCTAGCCAAGAACGGAACATACCTGTATCAGGCACGAGCTCTTTCAACTCCAGCCTAGGGTCTAATTGAACGATTTCATATGATATGAGATCCACGGTGCCACCGCCAGCATCGCAAATCACGAATGCGTCACCATTCTAGTAGAGTTGTTAGTCGGGTCTCAACAAAAAAGACGGTAACCATACAGCCAGCCCCCTCTCTTTGAATTCTGTTAGTGCGTACAACGAAGCCGCTTCGGGCTCTTTGACGAGAGTCACTGGATAAAAACCAGCCTTCCGAGCCGCCTATATGTGGAATATCAGTCAGCCTAGCATTGCATGTCCAGAGGAGATACACGCCTGCAAAGTTAAGTCTTTTGCCTTATCCGACCACACAGCGGGGACGGAAAGAACAAAATGTTTTCTACACCCCTGGATGTATTCAAAAGGCCAAAGATCCATTATTATCTCCATAACGTATTCGTAAATGATTCGAATGAAATCAGCAGCTACGTCAACGGATGGCTTGCCCAAGCGCTCGAGGTTGCTCTTCAAAATTCACGCCAGAACATAGGATGGTATTGCCTGTGTAGGGTCGAGTAGTAGCTTGATCCCGCGTATCATACGACCGTGATGGGCTTGAGATCCCCAGGTAAAGCTTCCACCACTTCCATTGTAGCTTAGAATTGTGGGGATCTTTGGTTGTTTCTCAGTAAGCCCTTTGCGTGTGGTTAGAACCTTCAAAAGCAGCACTACATTAGAAGTCTTACCTGGCAAGATATCAACACCTACAACCCGAGGGTTCTCGTCATCAAGAAATGCATACGCGGCGCCGGTAAAAGTTGTTCCGAAATCGATTGCAATGACGATTTGGTCATCAGATTCATACATGAATTGGTCGCTATGGTGTGGAATAACCCCACCAGCTGGCTTATCAAGTTTAATTCTGTTGTCCATGGCGATCAGTGCTGCAGGGAAATTGTGGCCCTGAGATTTTGATTTGAAGATAAGCAGTCTACTGCTTTTCATGTGAAGACAGATCATTTCATGCTGTGATGAAGCCTCTGTTTATGAATGTCGTGTCCAAGATAATTTTTTTTGTTCGTGTTTCAGTACAGACTGGAACTTACCAAAGTTGGTTCAGCCAGGAACATAACCGAATCTTCCAAACTTCCAAATCACACCAATCCTTTCATCACGAAGTTTCTGTGTCGCAACTCACTCTTTGTGCGGGCGCTGGATGAAGTGGTGCGGCTTCCAGCTGAATCTACAATTGCCAAGAAATCCGATGAAACATCTAGAAACAGGGTCTCGCCTTCTTTCTCGTTTCTGCGCATAATATTGAAAGATAGAACAGCGAAGTTACGATACTATGTCGGAGTTCTGCGCTGTGCTCTTAGCTTGCAAGTAAATTTTACAAAACTAGTTCTACAAAACTCAGATTCATATTGCATTCGCAGAAGCATATGTTCAGCACCAACGACAAACCCCAGCAGTCACAGAACCACAGCCAGGCAATCGAAAACTCTAAATACAAACCCGATGATGGAAAATGTTGAATCTCCACTTCCTGTTGGCAATCTACAGTTGTACGTCGGAAGACAAATCGAAGAAGCTAAAGAATATGATGGGGCTAGGAGGCGGCCTTGTTGTTTCCGCCGATTGTATGATAGATTTATCGTAGGTAAGCGACTTAACCACTGTCCCAGTTCAACACTAATAGTTGTAGTCGAAGGAGGAAATAGGGAAGACGGCCCCCTTTCAAAAGACCAACGACCTTACTAAGCTTGCTACTGAGCATAATCTTTCGACACAGGGAATCCACAATGCGATCCAAGAACGAGAGCAAGCAAGAAACCAGAGACAAACTTCCTCGTTACCGCTTGAAGATGTCACTCGCGAGAACAACGAATTGAACATCAAGTACGAGAAGCTACAGCATGATATCAGCATCTGCTTCCGCCAGAAAAAACCATGCGAAGTGGCTGTTAAGAATGCTTTCAAAGATTTAGACAGCAGGAACAACTTGCTTAAAACACGCAATGACGAGCTACGAAAGCTTGGGCGCAAATACAAGACAGTGGTTATGGACAAGGAACTTCGGGATGAAAAGTTTCAAGAACTGTCCGAAAACTTCGAAACACAAGAGAGGGAGAATCTCACCCTACGCGACGAACTCACAAAACTTCAAAGCCAAACCACCCAACGGGACTCTGCTTTTGCAATCTTAAGACAGGAGCTTGAAATGTCTCAGAAGGAGACCAAATATTATCAACAACAATCGAGGACGTTCCGAAGAATCATTCAAAGTACGAATATTCCAATGGAAATAAACGAATTAGACGTAGGCCTGGATTTCAAGTGGCTGCGTGACGAAATCCATCACATCATCTGTAGCTATTATAGCATGGAAAAAGGCTATCCAGTACCTGGAAATTCGACCTCGCAAAATGCCGAAACCCATCTTTACAATCTTTTCAATCTTGTTCCAGATCAATTTGAACGAGAGATTGGGGTGAGGGCATTCATGTTTGGTCAACTGGATGAGTTCCTATTGTTTAAAGAACTTTTTGGAATTGAAGATCTGGACGAGAGTTTGGGTATTGAACAGGGGCTGCGCAATTTTGAGGTTATGTTCAAGCAAAATCACCCAGGTATTTTGCACTCACCACCCACCTTCTATTTGAACAAACACCTTATTGATACTTACACTTCTAGATCGGCACGGCGAGCTTGCCGCATGGAGGACCGCTACGGTGGAATGTGCTAGATTCCTCAGACCAGCCAGCCCGAGTCACCCACCAGACCTCTGCAAACACGTCGCTGGAGAATTAATGCGGCTATTGAACCCTCTAGGTACATATCCTCAAGAGAAAACAGATCAGCTCATGGCTCGCTGGCAAGAACTTTGTATGATGGCTTTGAAGCTTACCATGAAGCTGAGAAACTACAAAGATGTGTACCGCTGCGAGATGCCTGCACTGGGAGACATTGTGAAAGATGATGACATGGATATAGAATATAGAGTGCATACGGAAAACTGCAAGAAGTATGCCGAGTTAAACAGCTGGCCTATTGCGTATGTTCTTTCGGGTGAATGGGTGAGGTACTCTGCAGAGGAGCCGGAGAAAAAAGTGAGTTTGGTGAAGCCATGGGGAGTGGTATATGCTCATCCAGGCGAGAGTGAATGAGGTCTTCTCTGAGATTTGGAGTCTGCTGAAATGGCCTTAAATGTTCCTGGCCAGAAACAATGGTTGGCGAGGGCGGTAGGCGCATTGAAAAGGATAGCCGTTGCATATGACATCGTGCGGTACAGACCGCTCACATATCAAGGTCATCGAGCTCAAGGACCACTTTGTAAATTCAGAGGTTCTCTTCTGCGCAATGGGTCATCATATATTATCTATTCACCATCCTTTGTGGCATGTATCTGGTGAAGGAGAGATGTTGACGTGTGATATCATGAATGTCAGCCTACTTTGCTTCTCACAATGCCTGGCGTCCCTTCACAAAAATCATGTCAATTCTCATGCCATGGTGTTGCGCTCGTCTCATGAACCTAGCCCAAAAACGCGCTTTTTTGATTAAGGATTGAGTAGAAGCTCGCGGCATTAATGCCGACTTACTTGATTTTTCTTTCCAGGCCGCAACATTCCACCCGTGGCGCAATGTAATATATATTGGTTGCTGGAAATCCATCCTCATACGGCGCACACAATCTTCGATGCGGCATGTTGCCAGAGTGGTTAATGGGTAAGACTTGAATGTAAATTTCGGTTATCTTATGGTTTCGGCCTCGTAGGTTCAAATCCTGCACATGTCGTGAATAACATTTTGCCATTTCTTTTGGCTCCCAGACTTGCAATGATCTGAAAGAAATTCTTTTAATGAATTCGTGGCTGGTAGCTGGGCAGTGATTCTGAGTGGAGAGAACGGTGTGCGCAGCCCCGCAGATAATAGCGGACTGGTGGAGTGCTTAACGCCGTGATATCACATTTTCAACGCCGAAAAGGTACTGAGTGTTGGCACCACATTCATTTTGATGCGGGCGTTAAAGCATTCTAAATGTTGTCCCATTTCCACGTCATGGCTGGTGTCTTGTTTTGACGCAGATTTTTCTCTGATTGAATCTACTCAGGTGGCTCAGATCGTTGCATTGCATGATTTTGATGAAGGTGGATAGAACTGGATTTGGACCAGCACGCAGGAGGTATTGGCCACCGTGTGTTTGTGTCTTTTCTTCTTTTTCCCCCTTAGAGCAGAACTGTCGCTTCACGTCAGGATGCTGTTGGCTGGTGTCGCGGGTTAGTTGATGGCTGCAGGAAGTCCGGAGTAATGCATCACAAGTTCATCGTCTCGTGACGACTTCGTGGATTTTATTGAGGGAGGAAAGGAGAACGATGAGGACACCGCATGTCGAATAAGAATAATAAACCGGGGACACTGTTCGTTCTCTTGGAATATTCCCAAACTTTGAAGCTCAGCGAAGGTTACATTGATATGTAGCAATGCGACGAGCCACTTAACAACAATGCCCGACATTGCTGTCGAATCCATGTCTTTATCGTGATCTTCCATGGTTCAGTAGAAGTCGACCTATTGAGACGACAGCAAGCACATTGGCTATCACGAACATGTGCAAGATAACGAGGTAAATTCGTGCCTTCAATCAATATTGAATGTCGAGTAGATTTTGGTTGAGACGGACGTCTTGACTGGAAACGAGAAACAAGATTAGAAAAAGAAAAGAAAGCATGAATACATCATATACGTATATATATTCATGTACAGCAATAGACGTTGTTTTATTTTGAGTAGATGTAGCTTTTAATTGAGTAGATATAATATAATTTTGATTAAGTTGACGTCGTTATGGATTCAATTATTCAATATTTGCAGTGGGTGGTGAGGTGATGAATTATCAAACATGATAGGCATTACTGATAGCGTTGAGGAAATCGGATCTCGCGAACTTTAATTTCCAAACAAAACAACCTTATTAACCTACAACCCATTCCATTCCATCACTCGTCAACCCCTCAACCCCTCAACCCCTCGACTTTACCACAATCTCTCGACGTCGCACTATCCCTCGACGATAACCCGCAATCCTTTTCAAAACACCATCATCATGGCCGATACCGAAATGGATGTCGATGCGCCTTCATCACCACAGGAGCAACGAAATGACACCAAGAATGCCTCTATGACAACTCATTCAAATGCGACAGCTGTGCGATCTATCGAAGGCTGGATCATCATCGTTACCAATGTACATGAAGAAGCTAGTGAGGAGGACTTGAATGACAAATTCGCAGACTTTGGAGAGATCAAGAATCTTCATTTGAACCTCGATAGAAGAACTGGATACGTCAAGGTGAGCTCATACCATTACGTCTTTGGCATGGAAGCTCTCCGATCAATTTAGCATTATCGCCTTGGGATTTATAAGACAATTTCGGACAGCTAACACAAAATGTCTGCAACTAGGGTTACGCATTGATCGAATACCCAACATTGGACGAGGCAAGGGCCGCTATTGATGGTGCGCATAATACCAAGTTGCTGGAACAGACTGTCGAGGTGGACTTTGCATTTGTTAGACCGCCACCAGGAGGAAAGGGTAGAGGAGGTCGGGCACCTGCCAAAGGTAGAGCAAGAAGCCGATCACGTAGTCCCAGTGGTAGAGAAGGGGGCGATTGAATGAGTGCAGGTGACGATTTTGTGCCACATGAATGGGTAGTTACATGAATGATTTCTAATCATCAAATTACATTCTTGAGGAGCGGTGGAAGAAATCTGGGGAAAATTACAAGGGATATGGAGGAAAATTAGAAAAGCTACCTAGGTGCCATGTACTCCTCCTTTAAAAGCCGATATGTTTTCATGGGAAAGACATATCGGCGTATATTCAAATCATTACGATTGTAAGTTCATCTAATCGCCTTGGAATTCGGGGCAGAATATGTCACTAATCTATATTTAGTCTTGAGATACCAAAATGAATTACCATTGAATTTCCTCTTTAATTTATTTCACTCTAACGAGTCTGAGCCCCACGAGAATTTGATCGTTACATCTCCGAAGTTTTCACCCAACTGTTGGACATCGCCGAGACGTAACACTTGTCTACTCCAAAGTGTTCTTGTATAAAAAGAGTTGTCTTTGCAGAAAGTTAGAGGACCCTACTCACATTTCTCCAAGAACCTAGTGGACCCTACATTCAGAAGGAAAAAAGACTCTATTCCGATTTGAAGAACCTTGTACGGTGGGCTGACATAGAATGATGTGAGCGAGCTTTCCCCCTGGCCACACATTATTTTGACATTTACCAACGATTTTGCTTCTTCCACAGACAAGGCTTTATCCGGGAATCCCACCATACCCTTGACAACCTTACCTTCTAGAGATCCTTGAATCCTAGAGGGTCATGCAAGCATATCTGGCGATCTAACAACACTCTCCGACAGCATCTAACAACACTTGGACCACTACTATATAAGTATCCTGTATCACCAGACCTTTGAATCCTCATACCACTTCATTCTGTACACTTTACATATTTACACCGCCACACACAAAGAAGACCATAAAAACATCTTCACATTTATATATCTACTACTTTCGGTTGCACCATTATATTTTGTCTTTTAATTCAAACAACTCTTTTTCCCTCCCTCACTTTGGTGAATCAACATCACAATGGCTCGCACTTTTTTAGATACTCTCCCAAGAGAGATTCGCGATCAAATATACGGATATGTTCTATCATCCCATTCCAGATGTGTATATCTATCCGAAAGCGTGGTCAATGACCCCGATTACCCTCAAGAAGAATATTCAGCAGCTGGAAAGCCCCCATATACCATCCGCTCCAAATCTCACGGCGAAACCATACGCCTTTCCTTTTTACGAACCTGTCGTCAAATTTACCATGAAGCTAAGGTCATCTTCTGGGAGCAAAACTCACTCATTCTCGATGGCATCCTTCCTCGAACATATATCGATCACCCCATACTAGGCAGACTGCCAGGTTCGATGGCCTCGATGGCTACCTCGGTCGAACTCAAGATAGACATATTAGGCCGTTCAGCTTTCCGTAGGAAGTCTGAATTATCTGAAGACAGTCCTTCGCTTGTTCCATTCGAATATCAATTGAAGGATCTTGCACGATGGCCAAACCTGAAGAGAATAAAGCTACATATGAGCCTCGGGGAAGACCCATGGGGTGATTACGACGGATATGGGCATAGTGGTTTCGCAAGACTACTCTACTGGAGACTTAGAGGCGGATCAAATGATCATTGGCACAACTTAGTCCGATCAAACATCAAAGCGTTGGAAGAAGCGGGCGGAAAGGATGGTTACCTGTCTCACGTCAAGAAGGAATTGGATATCAACACAGGCTGCGCACTTCCTAATGGCAATGGCTTCCCTCAAAGAATGCTGAAGGTGTCTACTGGATCTCCTGGAGAAGTTCTACAAGAATTAAGTGAGGCATGGTTTGGTACTCTATCAGTTGATGGTAGACTATCTTATCTGGAGGGCGAAGAGAAAGAGGATATGTTTGTTCAACAACCAGCACCACGTCTACCTATGCTCGATCATTTCTTCTTTTTCAAATACGACATTGATCGTTGGGTAGATGGTCAATCAGGTGTAAGATTATGGGGCAAAGCAAAACAAATTTGGCCAGCAGGAGATGAGGGTAAACAGGCGAGAAGAGGTGCTTGGGAGGATTCAGGGAGAATGGGTTGTTCTTTTGATGTTATGCGCGAGATTCACTGGCCTTGGAAACAAATGTCACCGCCTGACTTTATTCCGTGAACTTTGGATTTGAGTCTCTTTCTCAATTTTTACATGTATTACGAGTTTTCTTGTCTCTGTATTACTTATTATGAAGTATATCCTCAGCTAGGCGTTGTGGAATTTTGCTTCTAAAACATTTACAAATACATAATTTATACATACATCTACCTCTTCAATGCAAAATATTCATGTGCCGTCGACTTTGAATATTATCTTTGTTATCTCTCTAAATTTTTTCTATGTTTGAAACCTAGCCACGGTGTCGTTGCCGGTTACTATTACAACTGTTGACCCCCATCCACACAGTCCACGTACATACATAGCAGCTGCAGTCAGCGCTATTGAATGCGGGGTAAGGGAATTGGGACAAGTGATACAATGGTGCCTGTCGAAAAGACTGGGCTTGCTTGCCACTTTGAAGTCAAAGACCAATGAGTGAGAAGAGCCAAGAAGAGATTTGAGGATGGTGGAAACAAAGCTGCAGCATGCTGGACCCGAGTCAACCTCGTGAGAGATTGCGGGGCGTAGGTGACGAGATGATAGGAGGATAGTCTATCGGATGCTTGTCTTGAGTATAGTTTGTGTGTTTTTGATAGGGAGTAAATGATAGGTTGGGGATGTGTTATAACTTATGGGAAAGGATAGGGGTAGGCATTTTTGCAGTTGCATATGCGGATGCGGACTAGGTATCTGATGATAAGGCTAAAAATGAAAGCGAGGGATCCGAGAGCAAAAGCATGGGATATTATGAGATGAGATCCAGACAGGTAGAGGCGTCGGCCAGATGATGAGTTGGGATTTAATTCGCTTGTCGAGTAGTCTTTTCATCCGTCCTCTCTTTCGAATGCGGATCTGGGGGTGGCGAAATATTGTTATCGGGAATTGGTGTCACCTGTTATGCCGTACATGTGTTTTGGTTGTTACTTGACATCAATATCTCAAATTAGATTGATAATTTAAATTCTGAAGGCGTTCTAAGAAATTGTGCTGAATCACCTGCCACGATCAAACACTCGGGGGGAGCGCAACCATTCACGTGCGCTTAGTCCTCGCTTGAAAATCCGTGCTTTATTTCATCCATCACCCGGCACCCCCAACAAAACTTCCCCGGCGAACACCCCCAACATCCCGCGCGCAAAATTCTTCAACGGAACATTTATACTCTGCCCCTATAATACTTTTTCGATCCGAATTGAGTTTTGTGAGAATCGTACCGATTGCATGAATTGAATACTTGTGATTTGGTCATCGGCCCGGAAAATCGTTTTTCAAAGGGGCTTATCGGACCCGAGTTGCGGGTTCGGCGGGTGGTGCTACGAGTGTGGGATCTTCAGCTGGGTTGGATGGAAAGGCTTGGTAGGATGGATTTGGATGAGTACAGTATACTCTGGATATTTACCCCTTGGAATTCTGAGGTGGAAGAAGTTCATTGGGAGATGGAAAGGGAAGAGTAGTCTCTCCACCCACACCAGTTCGTCCAGCGCTCTTAGCATCATACCCTCCATGCATACGGAGGGTATATTTGCGTCTCCGCTTCATCCTTCATCCTAGCATTTCCAACGCCTATCTATCTCGCCTTATGATGTTAGTGTTGGGAAGGGGAGTAGCGTGAACTCGGTGTAACTAGGTTGAAGGGTCTTGCTGCGTACCGGTTCACCGAAAAGATAGGCTGTGTATTATAGGCAGAAGCTGGTAAGGAAGGATGAAATGCTGTCAGAAATAGCCTATCGTTGTACTACATTTGATGGTAATGGTTCTGGAACACGGGGGTCATGATTTTGGAGACAGCGAGATAGGGTATTGATGATGGATGGGTTGGACTGAGTGGTGCGGTCTCACCGTTGCTTTCTTTTTCCGGACCTGTTGAGATTGAAAGTACTGATAGAAATCGGAACTATCCGAAGCTCGGGGCGCGGCGTTGATCTTGTTGAGTGCCATGGCTGTAGGGCTCTGATGGAGAACATCAGCTATCTAGAATCCAATTGAGCCTCACGGAACAACGTCTACGGTTGCTTCCCGAAATCAGTCGTTCTTATGTCAGCGTAGTTCACCACCTCTTTGAGTCTATGAGCCGAGATGGTTGTGTGGAGCTTCTTTCTCAAGCACTGCAGAGAGAGCGGATATATGGACTTGCAATGTGGATACAACTGTGCATACTGAGTCGGAAGATTCTTTTGAACGATCATCGATGGTTCAGCGATGATGATGATGAGTCAGAGATAACAGATCCAAGACGCAAGATGACATCGAGCTGCCACCACCATCGAACCTTACAGCCACGATCGAACTTTGACAGGAATGCCCTTGTCGCAGATGCATAATCGCGATCTGATACATTGAAAATGACCTCATATTATATCTACAAATCCTCTTGAAACACATCTAGATCGTGATACACTCTATTCTCAAGACCAGATCGTTGATCCTTTGCATGAATAGAATTCTCCCCACTCGATCCTAACTATTCTTCTGCGCATCCACCAGGAAACCGGCACATCTTGTCGCAACCATTGCCGCAGGAGCCATGGTATGGTGACTCACAATCTTAGGAAAAACACTCGCATCTGCAATTCTCACACCTTTTACCCCATGGACACGTAATTCGTTATCTACCACCCCAGGAGCATTTTCATCGGCTTCAGAACCCATGCGACATGTCGATGAATAGTGGAACGTATTTCGCACTCTGTGACGTATGAACTTATCCATCTCTTCATGATCTCCATGCTCGACATCGAGATCTTGGGACTCGGATGAGAAGGTTACGGGACGGAGGAGAGGAAATCCGGAAGCCAGCATGGTTTTGCCGAAGGCAAGGGCGAGATGGACGGCGCGTCGGGCGAGGATCATATCGTCTGGATTGGAAAAGATGCCGAAATCGACGGCGGGATAGGAATGCGGGGATGAGGATGTAAGTCGCACGCTGCCGCGAGATAAGGGATCGCAAATTACGGCGAGGATGCAAAAGATTCCTATTTTGGAAAATGTCGATTGGTGCTCTTTCGTGTCGTCCGTAGCGCTTACGGCCAGTGGTATTAATTCGATATCAGGGACTTGATTTTGAGGCTTGGAAAGATGGAGAGGAGATGTTTCTGTGGGTGTAGGTTCGATATTTGAGGATGAGGAATCTTTGATGAGTGACCCGATAGCATGTTCATTGAGAGATTGAGAACGGATGAAGAAACTAAGTGTTTGAGATGGGAGACTCATGATACCGGTTCCAAAGAGAAGATATTTGGCTAACTCAAGAATGGCTTTTAATGGGGATACGGCGACTTGGATGATGGATTCTGAAATTGGGATTTCCCATGCCACGGGGATACTTGGATGATCGGTCTGAGGGTTGTGATTAGCCATGGTGAGCCCTTTGTCCTGGGAATGTTGAGAGTACATACGAAATTGGAACCAACTCCCGGTAGGTCGTGGATGACTTTGATATTGTGTTCTTCGAGATGTTGACGAGGACCAATGCCGCTGAGAATATTAATGTTAGATCAGAATCCATTATTTAAGTTTGGAGTCGAAAATCCGAGCTTACCTCAACATCAACACTTGCGGTGAACCTAGCGCACCAGAGCAAATAATTACTTCTTTCATTACCTTGGCCTCAAAAGTCTTCGTGGATTTTGAATCAGAGCTTCCGAAGATCACTTTACTCGCACGAGGAATTCCATCGTCGTCTGAAAATTCGACTCGATGTACAGTGGTGTTAGTACATATGGTTAAATGTTTTTCTCGCTCAAGAGCAATTTCTCTCGGAAGAAAAGAATGGAAAGTAGAATTCTGTTTTCTGTTTTCTGTCTTCAGTGACTGTGTTATATATCATAGCTAATCCATCAACCGATGCATTTTCCACATTAGTATCTGGAATTCGAGAGAATACCATTTTATCAGCTGCGTCAGTAAATCTATCATGATACAATTAGCAAGGTACTCTCCAAGACGAAACAAGAATAAATTTCTCACACTCTCAAACATCTCCATCCCCACTCCTCATACTCAAAAGATTTCATAACCCACTGTCCCTGCGTTCCCCTTCCTCGCTCTTCCGCCTCCTTGACATCTTCTCCTACCACTTTCTCCATTCGCTGAAAATATGGCTCTACATCTTTCCACCCTTATCCTTCACATCCCATCTCTTTCCATCCCTCATAATCTCCTTTTGTCCCTCGCGTATACACTTCATTGTTAACTCTACTACCTCCACCTAGCAATTCGGCTCGGAAGACGAGTGATTCCAAATCATTGCAGTGTTTCATTGGAGCACAAAACCAGGATTTGGCGCCTGAAGAGGTGTCATGGATATTAGAAGAAAGAAGCGGGATACGAGAGAGATAGGTATCATTTGCGGGGCCGCGCTCAAGGAGGAGAATCTTGTGGGTGGAGGAGCTGCTGAGATGGGAAGCGAGAACGCACCCGGAGGTTCCACCTGTGGGGAAAGGGTTAAAGGTGGGAGTTAGGAGGGAGATGAGAGAATGGAGAAAAGAGGGGAATACATACCTCCGATTATTATATAGTCGTATTCTTTCTCATTAGCGTACTCGGGGGATTTTTCGGGATATTTGGGAGAGAATGGCCAGCGCATTTTGGGAGAGGGTTATTTAGATGGATGGTTACGTTGGGGAATTTTTTGTTTAGGTTGGATGGTGTGAATGAGGTATTGAATTTCGAGATGGTATAAGAGTTTATGGGAATATAGGAAGTTTGAACTTGGGGCGTGTTTGCTGACGGTTGGCTGCCAACATGTTATGTTATTCCAAATTATCATTTTGAGAATACAGTCAGCAATTCTTGCGTCTGCTGATTGGGTGGTGGTGTTGTTGTTGTTGTTGTTGTTGTTGTTGTTGTTGTCTGTGTGATATCACTTTATTTTGTATGGTTTTATTATCGGTATTTGGGTGAATTTTATGTATATGCGGTGATGTTATAGTGGTTCAGATGTGGTAGTGGTGAGCATACTTAGAGAGGGTAGGTATTGATCGTGTTTTCCAGACCAGGTGTAAATATCTTTTCTAGCCTTCAGATGTTCATTTGCGATTAGTATTATCCTTGGGTTACTATTACAGATTCTTATCTGGAGAGTGGAATGTCAGCTAGAGATGGATAATCATAGGTTTTCTGAGAGGAAATACGTCCCAAAATTTAGACCCGAAAAATCATCAGGAGGTTGAAAGTTGTATCAACGATTTCAGCCATTGAATATTTGCAATATATAGACTAAAACAACGCGACAGCTACAACGACGAAGAGGTAACTTGGCCGAGTGGTTATGGCGCCAGTTTCAGGCTGACCTGATTCATCTATCTTACTGGTTCGAAAGAGCGAGGGTTCGAATCCCTCAGTTATCACATTGTCATATTTGTTTTGCAATTTTCGTTTTGGATGTTTAGGTAGACCTCAAATGAGACAACTTTGGAGGTTTACATTTTGCCTGTATATAAAGAAGTACGCGGTGCGCCTGTGCGCCTGTGCGCTTATCATTTTGGGTCCGAGCTCCCACTAGCACACATGGGTGGGGTTGAGATTGCATTGCCCCTCTTCAGCCCCTCTTTCCTCTTTTGTTTCTTCAACCTTTACAAACAACCTGGAATCAATTAAGCAAGACTTTTATTTTATTTTACCAAAGGTGATTCAATCTGTTGGATTCAAACAAATCCGATCTTATTACAAACGGCCAAGAGTGAATTAACTGACCATATCCTCGAGAAGATAGCTACCAGAACCTGTCTTCAATCGACTATCGAAAAAAGGCATGTGGTCGACACTGGGCTTTTTCCAATGCTTCAATTATATACTTCTTCCCGAGGACGGCCCTCCGTTGGCCATCCACCAAGCAAACTGAATCCCTGACTACCACATACCGACCACTAGGTCCACGATCCGTCATCATGATTAACAGCACTGAGCAGACCAGTTGAGCCGTGGACTAATTTATGCTCCAAAGGCAAAAGCCGTCGCAGCGGCGAAGGCGAGAGCCTTCAAAAAGCTTGCAGAAAACGAAGATGTGATGAAGGAGATATTTAACCAATGCAAAACCTTAATGTTCTTTGATAAAGGAGCGAGGAAGACGAAGGCGAGCCGAGAAGCCACCCGTGGAGAATTTGAATTATTCGTGTATGATATATATGAGCTCACAGAGATCACAGATATTTGGAACAAAGAGAAGTTCACTGAACATGTCAAGCAATACCTGGGATTCACAATCCTACAAATTTCAGGTAAATTCAAAGGTTAGTCAAATACTTGTCTTCGTCCCATTGCATGAAACCTAGCATGTTTGAACACAGCGCTCTTGGGAGTATCGTGTGGTCATTAACAACAATTTTAGATAAACCAAAAGCTGGAGTATTGTATCAGCGAATGCATGGCTTGTATTGGTGGGCAGTCAGATTTATACCAGGATTCCTAAATGACTACGGAATGTGGCATAGTATCATCACCGACCACATTGCATGGCTCGCCGTTCATCATGGATTGGCAACTGAAAATAGGCAGAAGAATAATTTAGGCGATACTGAATTGGAAGTAATGTATAACTATTCAATCAAGCAAGCCGACAGCAACCTTCTCCAGCATTATTTCGCATATCTTGTCACCTTCATCACCAGTGTACGCCCAGGCAGTATCACTGTATGCCCCAACTATGAGGCAAACAAAGAGAAGGGTATCCTCATTGACGAAACATTAAGATGGAGTGATGTGGAGTTTTACGTGTATCCAGGCAATCGAGGCAAGTCCATTTCTCTATATTGGAGACAAGTGTAGTACTGCCACTAATGCAATTCTTTTAGGTATCGCGGTGCGAATATTTTTCCGGTTCGTCAAAGGATATCGCGATCCACATGGAAAATCTAGATTCGACCCGCAGAGAACCTTTACATTCTTACCAATAAAAACAACCCGATATCACTTGGATGCCGCCTTTGTGCTAACTGGCTTGGCTTTCCAACGCGGGCTCTTTGGACCTGAGTTCCCGACGATTGAGTCATTGCACCTTTGCAAGACATTTCATATACCAAAGGTCGATGCTGTAAATGCCAACCCTGTCTTACTACAAACCACTAAAGGCGATTATCTTTTCGAAAATGTCGCTATGAGAGAGCCTGCATTGAACCCGCGATTGCAAACAACGCTCTCAGCTCTAGGGTTTTTTCAGTACTTCACCATGTATTCCTTCCGGAGGACCGCCATCGTCGACACTAGACAAGTCGAGGGGACCGAAGAAGCACGAGAGTTGACAATCCATATTTCGAGCACCGCTAGCATATATGCGTATGATAAAGTCGCTATGGCCGACAAAGACATTACATCAGTAAGGTTGGGAATCAATGGAGATGACCGTTCGTACCCTTATATCAGGCTATATAAGTCAGTGCTAACTTTGAGTCCAGAAAGCAAAACGACAAAGATCTCATTTCCTCGCTGAAAGCGAAATGAAAGACCTTACTTGGCTGGGTTGTGAGGCCGATGCAGCTTGCATAGCAGCATTCCGGGAGTATACAGATCTGTAAGTCGTTTACACACAAGGAACGATTGATAAATACTCAAAGCTAAGCTAACTTTAATTTAGCTTCAAGGTATTGGCTGCATAGAATGACGGATATGATGTCATCACATATCAAGCTAGAAGAGTAATCAATAGTTTTAGCATTTACAACGACAAAAAGGCGAAATTGCACACCAGCTTCGATGAAGTACAATGGGACAAGAAATCCGGTTTTCGACAAGCGACGAGAAGATATGTTGACTTGTTTAAGAAGAACAAGATAGAAGAATACAGGGAATCAATAACTACTCTTGAATAGAGGCTCGAGTTGGAAGAAAGGACAATCATGGCAAGAGACCCCAGCATATCCAGACAATTATTGACCAGGCCGACTATGCGATGAATCTGACACCATTGGGAGAACGATTGATCGATATGGTGAGACATGTTGAAGTAGATGAAGATCCAACCTAAGAAATAGATGATACGGAACAAGAAATTGAAAGAAATCCAAGAGAGATGCCTGAAGCCTAGGAAGGCCTGTCCGATAATATAATCTTTCAGCCGGAGGAGCCGGAAAAGGAAGGGGGGGTGGAGAGATCCCAACTCAAGGATCGGTTCACCCAGTTAACTGTTTTGATCAAGGCTGGAGAAGGTACAATATACTTACCAAGGAAGAAACTGCCGATGATTCACACCGAGATCGAAGCCACAGTAATTGAAACTCCCACGAAAAATTCTGGATCGAGCCACCGGTACCACTCATGTCTGTTACGATACAGCTCTCTGTGGAGAAGAAGGAGCAATCCTGGCGTCTCCGTGAGCTTGATATCCACTTGAGCACAGATTATCATATTTGACTGAGTATCTTGAAAAGAACTATTGCCAATGAATCGAGCTACGGGGAAGTGGAAACTTGAGTTGCCCAATTTGTGAAATGACGGGCGAAAGCGACGAGGAAGAAACTGAACCGCCTCAATTCGCTACCGGGTCCAGAATAGTTGAGTTGAGCATTAGTCCACAGTTATGAATGAGATAAGGTGTATGTTTATGGCTGGTCGTTGGTGGTTGTTTTTTGTTTAGGATTATATGGGATCTCAGTGCTTTGACTGGTGGTGGTGGTGGTGGTGGTGATCCTTGGAGATATGAGGTATAGGAATTGCATTATATTGATTACGGGAAGGATTTGAAACTATTGACTTCGGAAATGTGAAATATGAACATCCATGTGAGTTCTGATGAATGAAGTGTATATGTACAGGTATATTGAGAATCCAATGAAGTGAAGTAAGAAGCAAAACTCTCCGTCGAGAAACATTAAATCTCACAATTTGTGTAATATGCGCAAGGTATCAATTTCTTTTGGGTGAGATGAGGATTTGTTTGAAATTGAATTTTCCCTTTCTTTACAAGATATCAAATAGAGACTGAGTGAGTGAGTGAGTGAGTAAGTGAGATGTGTATATGATAAGCTTCTCATTCTATTCATCCCACCGAATACTTACTTACTTACTAGGTAGGTAGGTAAATGAACGATAGATGTTTTGGATTCGGATCCGGATTTTGGAAAGAGGATAGGTATGTATGTAAGGAGGTATGTATGTATGGGAGGTGTGTACATATAGATTTATATCACCTATATATGTATGTGTCTAATGATTATAATCAAAATTGTATAATTGGGCCTGCTTGTTGTTTGTAGCTCTGGGAGTGAATTGGATTGGATTTGATTTGATTGGATAGATATGTAGGTAATATAGTTGGGGAAAGGGGGGAGGGGGGTAGAGAGGGAGAGAGAGGGAGAGGGAGGGAGGGAGAGAGATAGGCTGGGAGGGAGGTAGATAGGTATATAAGTAGAGGTTGGTTATATTTATAATAGGTATTTAGGGAGATAGATATCAAGAGGTTTATTTAGGACAGTCAGTAATTCTATTGTATTTTATTGTATTATATTCACTAGGTTGGTAGGTAGGTAGGTAGTAGGTAGGCTAGATAGTGCTTTCTTGTGATCTTTGGTGAGGGAGAGGGGGAGAGAGAGGGAGAGGGAGAGGGGGAGAGGAGGGGGAGAGGAGGGGGGGTTAGGGTTCATATGTACGTGCATAGTTTGGGTGGTTGAGTATTGGTCTTAGTGTTGGTGTTGGTGTAATATCTATATGTGTACTATCTGTATGTGTAATATACTTATATATACTAGATATAGATAGATATGTAAGAAGAAAAAGTAATAAGAGATTATATAGAGATTGAGTGAGTTATCATTTAGGTATCTGGACAGGTACCTAGGTAGATGTAAGTTATGATATATAGTGAATATATTTATTATGTATTTGTAATTTTGTAGGAGGAAAAGAGTGTTGTTGATGAATAGAGCTGAGGATCTTTTTTATGTGTGTGTGTGTGTGTGTGTGTGTGTGTGCGTGTGTGTATATATGTGTATGTGTGTGCGTGTGTGTATATATGTGTATATATGTGTATATATGTGTATATATGTGTATATATGTATATGTTGTTGAGTGTATATTGTTTGAACTTTGGACGAGGGAAAGTTTGTTGGTGTAGTGAGGTGAGGTGAGGTGATATTTATATAGACGGTCTTTAGGTAGGAACTAAGACTTTTGAAATCCAATGCATGAAGAAATGAACATAAATGAATGAATCATAGTTTGGATGGAGACTCCTCAGTGAATTTAATTTTATGTGGATTTATATATATTTCTGGTTTTTGGGTTCTTGAGATGCTTGCTTGCTTGCTTGCTAGTATGTGAGTAAGTACTGGGTAAGTAAGTAGTTGTAGTTGTAGTTGGAGTTGGAGTTGGCTATCCTGAATACTATCCAGACGCTTACTATATACTCTGACTATTCTCCTCGGAATCTTATATGACATGAATTAGCATCAAGTTTCGATGTACCAGTAATCATAACTTACTTTATAAATTCCAGGTCATCGGGGGAAAGGGAAAGGGGAAGGTAGAATATACATATAAACTAATTCTTGAATTATGATTCGCGATGCATTCGTTCTGGTTTCTGGTATAGGGTGTTGGTTGGGAAGGCAATGGATTGTATACGGAATCGATCATTTGTATCCTGTTCGGTGTAGAATGATAAGCGACAAGCTCGTTACTTTTTCGTGATGGGAGTCGAGGGAGTGTGCCGAGAATGAAAAATATTGTTCATTTCTACTATGATCTGGTGAATATATGAAATAAGTTATGTTACACCGCTTTTGTATTGCCACCAATAGAATTATTCTGCCCACACCAACTGATCCTCGCTAACGAAGGCGGCATTACATAACTTATTCCATGTACGATGGTTGTAAGGGTAAGTATTGTAAAACACACCAAAAAGCGGCCGTGCTTTTCCCCACATACAAGGGCTTTAACCAATCAAAATATCACGCTCTTTGAAAATTAATATGATGAACTCTAATATACTGAAGTATTGTAAATGTAGATTTCAGTACGCTAGTATACTAAAGTGGGTCTATCCCTCAACAATTCTGTTAGGTAGCCTATCAAAACCTTTAAAATCTTTGAAAGCTTTGTAAGCCTTCACAAGTAAAAGAGAACTTGAAAATCGAAATTTGAGGAGATAGCTCAATATGTATTTGAATTGCTTAAAGCAGCAATAGAATATATAAAAACAGCAAGTTTTTAGAAAAAGTGGGTTTTACATCACTTATCCATATAACCACTGTATAATAGTATAACTATATATACTATGGTTTAATTTCGCTCTAACATCAATTAACACAACCAATCAAGCCCGGTTGGCACAATTGGTTAGCGCGTGGGCCTTTTAAAATAGATTCTATTATTTGAAAGCCCAAGGTTGAGAGTTCGAGCCTCTCATCGGGCGATTTTTTTGACTTTTTCTTGATCCTCCCTTAGATGGCATGATGGTATCTTTTTTTTGCCTGGTGTTGATCATTGGTGATGTGACTTTTGGTAGAAAAGTTGTTACAGGCAAATTGAGGGACTTTTTGCCATCATACAATTTCTTAACGCCGTGTGTCCACATTTGGAGAGAATTATTGATAACAGGGCAGGATTTCGTGATTTCGACTTTCACACTTGCTCCAACATCACAATTTCAATAACAGTTTGAACTTTTACTTCTTCGTCAAGTAGTTCTTATGCTTAACAAATTAACAATAAGTTCAAGCCATCAACCGAGAGAGTTGTTGATACACGTTAGAAAGTTTACTCTCCCATACCTTCGCTCACATGACCTATACGTCTACTCGCGAATCAACAATATGAGTCTTAATCTCTAAAATCTTTAAAGAAACTTTCTTATTAATAATTGTACTCTGTAGTCTGTTGGAGATGTTCCTGAATCCACTCACTTGGACGGTTGATCCACTTAGACCCACATAGATACGATATCTATCCATACCCGCCATATACGCTTACTTGTGCAAGGCGAGACGAGCTGGAGTAGAACGAAAATCAAGAATGATAATGCGGAGGGATACTGGTAAATAAATGTATGTGAACTCTTCTTTTGATTGCATGAACTCTTGATATCTGTCACTAGCGAGTACACACTAGTGATACTGCTGTGTATATTTATGATCCTTCGTGTTATCACCCCGCAACGCAACGCAACGCATTGACATCTGATAATCTGTTGTGTACATCTTATCGAGATGTGATAAAGCTTATGGCTCTGCTGCCACGGTTGATAACAAGCAAGAAGTCGTATCTGAATAGTTGATACCTAGGTACCTAGGTATACCGAGTACTATGGCTGAAGATACAGCTTAATGAGGTATTTTCAGGTTTATTCGTGGTTTATTTGTAATCCTTCTAGGTCTCTTGGAAATGGAGATTAGATACAGGTGTAACCCTCGACATGATTTAGACTGCTGGATATTTGAAGGGCGATGGACAATGATAAAAGTGTAGTGATAGTCCTTCACGAACGTAATATTCATGAAGTTATTTGACACTCTAGACTGACGATGTGTAAATAGATGTGAGAGAAGAGCAATCTGGGCAGTCCTCCAGGGCTTCCAAGGTTAGGTAGTTTTATAATTGTGGCTAGAGAGTAAGTGGCTGGATCCACCAATAGTTCCACTTAGGTACTATCGACTAATTTGGCAGGTCGACGCTTTTTGAAGAAAAATGTATGGAGAAATCTGATAAGCGGTCAGATTGCTCATGATTATTCGCTGTCAGCACGCCTTTCGCTTTTCGGGACGACATACCGGAATGGAATTGTAGATTATAGATATAACTATCGAAATCTTGGAGTATATAAGTAGGAGAAAGAGGTTGCGGGAGTTTCAATCCGTTAGACATACCTACGAACTATTTCCTGTTCATTTCATCCAGATACAATCCTACACCGACTGATGGACGAAATCCAGCCATTGCTCGCACCGGTACCACCGCCTACAACCGCAGCTGGGCAGTTTCCTTACATACCGGATGTCAATGTTCCAAATGATGAATCTTTCGATCATAGAGTCGATTTCAATCCCAATGGAGATCCGGAAAATCCTTTAGAATGGCCAAAGGCTTATCATAATGGAGTGATTTTGCTTCTAGCTTTCATGGCTTTCACAGTGTACGCATCTCATCCCACCTTCAACCCTAAGTCAATATCTAAACATTCATCAGAACATTCACCTGTATCGGTGTCGTTCCAATCGCCCGACAAATCGTCCTCGATCTAGAGAATCAAGAATCAAAATCTGCATCCGTTCTTCTGGTAACGATATGGGAACTCGGAGAAGCAGCTGGTCCGTTGCTCATTGCCCCGCTCTCCGAAGTGTACGGTCGAGCGGCGGTATTCAACGTGGCGAATGTTTTGTTTATTATCTGGACCGTCGTGGCTGCATGCAGTCAAACGTCGCATTTGTTCATCCTGTCGCGATTCATGACGGGTTGTGCTGTGGCTTCAAATGTGCTGAATCCGGCCGTTATCGGCGATATGTTACCACCTGACCAAAGAGGTTCAGCCATGGCAACACTCATGCTTGCACCACTTTTGGGTGGTGCTATTGGACCTGCTATTACCGGAGCAATTGCTCAATCGATCGGATGGAGAAATGTTCTTTGGTTTGCGGCGGGTATGGCTGGTGTTTGCGAGCTTTGTTTTCTTCTTCTCTTTCGGGAAACGTATAAAATTCGTATTTTACAACGAAGAATTGCAAGGTTAAAAAAACAAAAGAATGAGGATGGTCTGGCACTCAAAGTTGTGGTGGAAGAAGAGTGTGAACATACAGCGCTTGCTATATGGAAGGCTATCAAAAGACCCGCAGCGGTATTTGGGGGATCGTTTGTGCTGCAAATTCTGTCCTTTTATGGTGCAATTGTGTTTACATTTTATTACATCATGTCCACAACTTTACCAGAGGTTCTCAAAAATGTCTATGGATTTGCTCCCACGACAATTGGTTCTTCTTTCATTGCTTTTAGTAAGCTTCAAATCATCCTTCACAGCGATTTATACATCTGACTGACATTTTTAGGCGTTGGATCAACGTTTGCCGTCTTCCTTTGTAACATGCTGATAGATCGCATATACGTCTATCTCCGAACCAAGAATAATAATCAATCGCATCCAGAATTTCGCATGCCTCTCACTATCATCAGCGGTTGCATTCTCCCCATCTCCATCGCGCTTTTCGGATGGACCGCCGCAAAGGGCTGGCCTGTTGCATTCCTCCTCTTTCTGATCGGTCTCCAGGGCTTTGCTATCTTGACAGGTATGGTTCCTTTGATGGCTTATGTGGTGGATGCGTTTGGATTGTATTCGGCAAGTGCTTTGACGGCGGTCCTCATCACAAGGTGTTTGACGAGTACATTCTTACCATTGATGGTTGGTCCGTTGACTGATCGGCTGGGATATGGATGGGGATTTATGATTGTTTCAGGTGTGTGTTTGGTAGTGGCGCCAGTGCCTTGGTTGGTTATGAGGTATGGTGAGAAGTGGAGACAGTACTCTGCTTATACGAGGGATGATTGATTATGATTTATGGATGTTGGGATCTGGCTCAAGTATAAAAAGATTGGCGTTTGGAATTCTATTGTTTATATGATTGTAAAGGTACATATAAGAATATATATCATGGAATAATACATAGGTTTCTTTCTACCAATACTTCGTTCTTAGGAGCAAAACTCGAGATAGCAGGGGCTGGAGCAAGTACTCCAAGATAATCGATGTCTCGAGTCTGTAAGAAAATCAACACTCAAACATAGCGCCGCCTATATAAATCTACGGAATCATATACATCACTTCCTGACTTTCGCGTAGTAATCAAATGTATCTAGACCCAATGCACTCTTAGCACATCGCAGAGACGGAGTCGTATATAATTCCTCTATTAATGAAATAACCACATAAATTACAAGTACAAGTACAAGATATGTAATCCTAGACCTAGAATGAGCCGTCTCGATGATGTGTTTTGCTTTACTTCTAATTCCTTTTTCTTCCATCACCTTACGATTGAATAGATTAGAATGATATCTTCAATTTATCTCTTGAATCTATAGATGAAATAGTCTGGGTGTAAGGCATTAGCTGTTGATATATTTAATACTTATACTCTCGTCCCGAGCCTCTCTATTTTTGTTGTCTACATGAGTGATGAGAAAAGTATGAATTGTTTCGTCAAAAACTCATATATATACTTCCCAATATCTAGAATCCCCAGGGTATATCAGATGTCATGATTTCAACTTGGGAGAGGAAGGAAATGTTATTATTGTTGTTATTGTCTTGTCTTTTCTGATTTTTCTATGAGATCTATTATCAGCTCAGATAGTTCTTTCTATCGTATCTCCTTACTAGTATAATTCGCAAATCAGTATATCGAGATAAGCTTTCGGGACGTTAGATTCAACATTTTCCCGATTTTATGAGTACGAGTAGATGTGATAGGATTCTTTTCTTTCATAACGTGTTCCGCATACGTCATCGCTATGCGTCTCTTATGGAAGGGATAACTCTTCGTCTTGACTTTTTGGGAAAATGAAGGGATTCAAACACCGGTTTTGATTGATCGAGCTAGATAGAGCTGGTCTATCTGTGCTCGTCAAGAATTCGCTGGCACTACTATCAAGGAAACTTTGGGTGTCTACTTCTGGGTCGTCTGCCATGGCTTGTATCACTTCAAATGCTTGGATTATCTTACCCACTCATCTGAAAAACGAGAATGTTACCATCAATTTGCAAATATTTGGCCTTGGCCCATACAATCCCACAAACTTGAAAAACTCTAAGAACAGGTGTTGGTGGTGTTCCCGGTGGATAGCCGAGGTCTCCAGATGTTTTTGATCTTGAAATATTTAACTGCTTCGGACAAGGTCTGTCTATTCGCTTGCTCATTTACAATCGATCTTGCGGAATTGACCTTTTCGATTGGCTCTAGAGATGGAGCTTCGAAAGCGTCGTAAGCACCGGTCGTAAAATCTTCTAGCATAACGTCATCTGGGCCAGTTTAGCACGTCTCTCCCTCTACAAGGGTTGGTGTAGTGAGCGTTAAGAAGGCATCGCGATACTTTCTGAACATCCATTGGGCTGCATCTGTGGTAGCGTGCTTCATTTCCGTGTATTGTATGCGAAAGTCGACTGTTCTTGGTGGAACATTTTTTGGGGAATGAGTTTCGAGTGTGATCGTGGCTTTAATCGATCGAGCTCCGTCAATCTGCAGGCTTCCTTGATAAATCCTCGGAGTTCAATCTCCGCGTCGGTTCGGTGCGTCTCTACATATTCGAGACTTCTTCGTCAATAATCGCCCATGGGTATTGCTGTATTGTTTTGGAGGGGATTTATTGACTTTCTACAGCCAGTAACTATAGGGAGGTTTGATCTCGGCGGCTCCTTTTTCCTCATCCTGAACTTCAGTACATAGTCGTTGTAACTGGTTCCAAATGTGACGGCGAAATGATCTGAGTTGTCGATCTTGCAATGCAAAGCAAGTAGTTGAATGATGGTAATGATATTTTCAAAGTCATGTAAACATGCAGGAAAAGTCGGATATCTTCTCAGGAACAAATGGTGTTTGACTTCTGTCTTGGAGATGGCTTTGCTTCGGAGCAAGTTTCTTGAGCTTGAGCTTGAGGAGAACCAGAGATATATATATTAATTTCATGATCTAAAGTGAATCTTTCACAATATTCGTCCAGTTTTGCTAAGACGACTTGTCGGTTAATAATACCATATTGATTGGAAGGATCTTTTCAAGAGGTCGACGAGTGGATAGCGTAATGACGATTTCTAGAACCATATCACAGCATTTCAATCGATATACTTACTACCTTTCTCTCCTCCATATTCACGCACAATAATTTAGAGCAGTTCGATTACCTTTCTTGGAGAACCCTTTTCTGCAGCCTTGAATAAACTGGAACGATATGTATTACTTGGCAGACTATTTGGAGACTATTTGCAGATATATATACTTACTTACAACAAATAGCACGCATCAATCCAAAGAAACGAAACCCCCTCCCCTAAATCAACATTCTCATAATCCGAAAGATGGAAAATATATCTACCAACTAGTTGTTATCCATACCCCTCTCAATAAAGGAAATGGACTACGATAAGACAAGCATACTTCAAATCATGGAACTCAATACCAAGTATGGATGGAGTGGTGCCATACCAATTGAAGAATTGACCGATGTCGAATTATTCGCGGTGATGCGCGAGATGTCGTCGATGATGAAGTGGATCGCGTTCTTGGTTGCAGATGTGGTGTTTGTGATGAAGAGGAACATAATCATGCGGACGGATTTCCCAATCCCTCAATTTTTCATTGAAATGGTAAGAAACTTCTGGAGAGGGGGTATGAAGAGAGGTACGAAAGATACTAATATTGATTAATAGTGCTTGAAGACGACCGGTTGCCCTTACGAGTCGTACCATTCCGGTCTGAGCAAAGTGGATCGACAAGAACTGCTTACCAGATTCAACTCGGGCGGAAGCACCAGGCGTGATGATAATATCGACGAAGCTATCGGCATACGGGCTGAACATTCAACACAATTGCTCCAATGAGATCATGTCTGGCACCAGCTTCTGTGATCCCAAGAGGGCCAGGTACTGCGCGCATTTATCGAATTGGTCAAACACGAAGCAGTTGGGCGTATGAACTTGTGGTGGAGAACACTTTCATGCAAGTCCGCATGAATAAGCGATTTCGTAAAGTTGTGCCGGATTTAATTGCACATATGGCCCAGGAGGATCCATTGCGGAAGATGATGCAGAATATTTTACTGAGACCTCGAATCAAATGGCGCTGATTCCGCGGAAAAGATGGAGAATGCGGTTGAGAAGATAAGGGAAGTTCGGATTTAGCGATGTTTTGCTATCTTTGGCGTGAGTTTACATGTATATGCTAATCCTTATCGGATAGTAAAAGTTGATCTCTATTCGTTCATTTGGACATGGAGATATAGTCAGGCACTACAGAGAGGTATCTGGAAGGTTAGTAAGGCGAGCACCAATGAGCTTTCTCTTGCTCTCCGGCTGGGAGGATAGATGTTACTATCGTTGGGGACCTTCTATAATGATGGTTGATTAAGGGATCATGTGAATCTCTTAAGGCATGTGATAATATAACAGGTTATGAACACTTAATTTAAATCCAAGATGGAATCTCTGAGTAACTGAAAACGATGTGTGCGAGGGTAGCGTTCAACACAGGACCCGAACATGCAAATTGGCAGCCGAGGCAGCCGAGCTATACTTCGCGTATTATCACGGGAATCATGCGCGCTCTCGCAAAACTTTTGCAGGCGAAGAGAAGAAATCGGAATAGCGTGTAACATATCTCTGGACTCTTAGGTTTACGGATATCTTTGCTTTACAATTATCTTTTCAAGAATCACTCTGATGACCATCATGCATCCCACTTGACAATTGTCCTGGTATGAATATCGAAAGGGAGAATATCTGGCTCAAATGACCGCGCGGAAAATAGGATGCGGGACTGGGAAGAGGAAACAAATTTTTGGAGAATTAATCACTCTTTCTTACTACTACTGTATGTTTTGAGCTCGATATTTTTGAGTCTGACTACAGAGCTCTATACTGAGTTACACGGTATTAACCTCAGATGATCTAGTCTTAAATTTCGCTTTGAAGCCCATCAGTGTCATAATCTCAGACACAGTCTACATGGAAAACATCGCAAGGAGCCAGAAAAACGGGAAGATATATGCCTTCATATTGATACCCGTACAGGTGTTCAAAACTCCAACTATCGGCCGACAATGAGTGAATCTTGACATCTGAGCTCGCCTGGAACATTTAATTCCTTATCAATATTCATTTCACTCGGGTGTTTCTAAAGCTTTGAGTATTTGAGTTTAGCTGGGTCATCCGTTTTCTCCCGATTTTCGAAATAAATTTCCAACATTCATGTTTAGTAATGTCTTTATAGTATTGGTCTTGCCCGACAAGAGACACACCGATAAATACAGTCTTGTTCAAACTTTTGAGATAACTGCCGATCCAAATGTTTTCCTTACTATTGATATAATTCGTAATGTCCATGGAGGCAGAGTGAAAGAACGGTATTGAGCGAAGATATGCTTCGAAGTCCTCATTGTGATCCGATGAGATTGTGATTTCAAGCCTTTGATGATTTTGTTTTTCTTTGCTTGGTCTTGACGTTTGAATCACGACTAGCTTCTCTTCATATGTAGGTAGGTATACATATATGTACATGTCTTGCATGTGGGTGAGAAGAGCGAGTATCACGTTTGAATCTTCCAGTCCGGTTTGGATAATCCATGCTTCAATGTTCGAATGTAGTTCAGATAGCTGATTGATCATCTGGTTTTAGTCTTAGAGTTGGCATCTAGATCGTACGTGAATGTAATTCAGTCTTCCCTCGTGTGACTTGATCTGTCCTTTGAATGAGTAAAGACTGGCTGCTTCAATTTTGCTGCCAATTGGCCTGAATACGAAAATTGCTGCTGATCACAGCAATCCTTCAGTGGTTACGATAATCCATTCACCCGAGAGACGTCCGTGGAATCGCTAGTATGAATGATTGTTCTCGGATTTGTGGTATCCCTTTATTCCACATCGTAACTTCTGTTGAATGGATATGGATTCACTCTCGAGTCACTGTCCTACATGTACACTAGCTTGAGTATTAGTCATCAGGGGATATACCTTGACACTTTGTTTGATACTTTCTCTCTTCTAGGCAAGGACAAGTGGGGAAAAGGGGGTTTCGACCAATACTTCGCTTGCGTGACAAAAAGGTTCACGATACTATTCTCCACCAACTCCACCATCATCAAAGAAAAAATCATTTTGTATATATTTTTACATATCTCGTCGTGCCCACAACCCTGATTTCGCAAAATCCCTCACTTGGTGTAATGGTCAGCACGTCGGATTCTGATTCCGGAGATATTGGTTCGATTCCTATAGAGAGGTTCACATGTCATGCTGAAACTTCTACTTTGCTCAGTTTGAAGCTGAGCTTGAAGAAATATCTTTTTGCTTCTAAATAGTTATCACTAATCAGTGTGTTTTGAAACCCTACAAGAAAATCACTATATTAAGATTTTGATAGAAAGTGATAGTATAGCTGTACAGTATATTCGATAGTCTGGACTGTCCACGGGTAGTCCAACCATATGAAGATTTGGGTATCTAAAAGTAGATAGATATCATGAATACTTCAATTTTCTGATCGGATTCGATATCTCGAATGATTTGGATATTCTAATCGATATGAGGATTTGGTAATCTTCATTATTGGACTGCAATCCGGACGATTAGACTTCTTGGTATAACATAAGGGTAATGTTTTGTATATTCTAGACCTTATGAGAAGCCATTGTGTTAAGCTTTTACTAGAAAGTTTCTACATAGTATAGAATCTCTTTACTACACCGTAGACATAATCAAATTGCCATACAATAGGTTCTATAGTAATGGATACGAGTGTGAGAGTAATTACATAGGGACTTGAAAGGGGTGGGGTTTACAAAGGGTCTCTCTTTTGCATGTGCACTCCTACTCCCAGGCACAATATTGTGGAAACACAAAGGTTTACCCTCTGTATCCGTATCCCAATTCCTATACACAGGCTCTAAAAGCATACGGGCGCCAACTCGCCTGTAATTTAGCTTTGTGATAGAAAGTCGTATCAAGAATCTGACATTTATTAATGCTCAGTTTTTGAACCTCAACACAAACATTTTTACGAAATCTAACTCTTGTGAACAAAATTATCTACTAAAAATCTACTCTCCTACAAAATTAAAGACTACAATACTCAATGTTCGAATTGTTTTTCACTTTTTCCGTGGCGGAGAACCCCACCTAAAAATCTTCGCTTCTGGCATAGCCCCGGCGCTTCCTTTATCAATTAGTTTGCGGCGCGACCACCAACATCACTTGATATCCCTGCTGGCGCAATGGTAGCGTGCAAGACTCCTAATCTTGAGGCTACAGGTTCGAGTCCTGTGTAGGGAGTTTACGCATAGTAAAATCGGTTCAAATCCGAATATTGATATCATATTTTTGCACTTTGAAAGTCCCCCTCCGTTTTGTGGTTGCACGATGTTTTGCGCATTAGAACTGTAAGACGCGGAGACTAACGGCCGATTTGCCCGATGGATTGTCAGGGCTTACTGAATTTTGTAAGCTTTTCCTTCAGGGAAGGAGGATTCAGCTCTGGAATAGATATCTAGGTAGTAGATGGATGGTCCTTGAATATCTGGTCTTTTTGAACGTCTAATTCTCTCAGGATAACCCATTTGAAAATACGATGTACACACGAAGCTTATCATGTCCATCTACCCTCAAACAATCCTACAATCCTCACCTCTACCCAGCGTGTTATAACCGATCAAAAAGTCTCATCGGTAGTCTGCCCCTCCTCCTCCCCCCTTCGCTTCAACCAACGCAACTCCAACACCCATCAACCTCTTGGAAAGAAAACTGCATCTCTCCTCTTGTACATAACTTCTCCACTGAGTTCCATATTATTATTACCCATAATTCCTTTGTTGTATCCACAGTGCCCAAATAAATCCCACCTGATAATTCTCTACTTAGACGATGAACATGGAAGGAAAAGTCGCGATCGACTGCTAGCGAAGTTCCTTGACAAAACGATGATTCACTTGCTAATTTGTTTGAAGAAACGCTGAATAGACTCGATGGTTCAATTTGAGTTCAATTTATCACAATCTTCACCAAGGTAGTCGAATCTGCCTCCTTTCTTTTTCTTTCGAACAGTTTATCTCCTTATGACATCTCTGTATCCCTTCAATGAAAATTCGGTATCAAATAAGATAACTGAGAAGGCCTGACTATAGAGGACTTGTATAGAATTTATTATAGGTTTACGGAGGTGTGTATTGTAATGACTATCGTCTTAAGAATATGGAATCAAGAGAGACTTTCAGAGCTTTAAAAGTCTTTTGATTTTTTAATTCGTTTAGAAAACAAGCATCACATGTAAAATTATCTATTAGCCAATCATAGTATAGTAATAATCAAGATCTTTACTCTGCATGATTTGTTGCACATCGCAAAAAGGGCGAAAGAGAAGGGCCTCCAGTTTCATGTTGAACAGCGCCCTTTAAACGCCCTTTTGTGCAAGTTGTTGTTGAGTAATCTCACTGTCCAATCCAATGACCAAGATCTGTTGACATACAATCAGATCATGTATCTTACGTCTAGATATGCAACACTACCTCTCAAGACAACTTGATAATGATTTTGATTGGAGTAGGGCTGTAAGCTTACATTTATATATGAGCTATGATTGGATGGTATATAGGGCGTTGAAGCTCCGACCTCAAAACCGGTTTCATCAAAACATTTGTTGCACCTCTAATCTTCAATGTGCCCTTTTGACTCTGCCCTCTCGCCCTTCCTTCGCCCTTCGCCCTTCGCCCTTTCGACCACCTCGTTAGCCAATCACCCAATCATGTCCACTTAGTTTCTCTACAAATCCAGATTTTAACACATGTTGCACATCGTACCTTTTGTTGCACATCATAATTGACCTTGGTGGTGTC